GCACTTGTAGATCCATCAGACAGATCGGTCTGTGTTCAAATTGAAAAATACTTCAAAGAAATCTGGTTTTTGACATGACTATTCGACTGAAACATTTTAAATTTATTTGACTGATTTCATTGAGGACAGAAACCACCAAGGACGCTTTGTTGGTATGGTGCTCCTTGATCTGCAAAAAGCTTGATACAGGTAATCATTGCGTCTTATAGAAGAAGTTACAAATAATGGGTTTTAATAAGGCAAGTTTAGAGTGGTTCAGATCTACTTATCTAATCGACACCAAGTTGTGGCCGTTCATGATATTCGTTCCAAACTAATGCTTATACCATGCGGTATTCCTCAGGGAAGCATTTCAGGCCCAATTCTATTTACAAGTTACCCGGTATGAAAGACATTAAACTATTATTTTGTACGCAGGTGACAGCGTGCTACTCTATTCAAATCCTAATCCAAAATATCTTGAGGAAAAGCTCGGTGAACAGCTGCCTACGGGTGTTGATTAGATGACTGATAATAAGCTTTTTTTATACTTGGGAAAAAACAGAAAGGATTTTGTTTTGTTCGTAAAGTAGTTCTAAAAAGTAATTTGAATTCAAAACACAATAATCAAGTAATCAAGAGAAAAGAATCTGTGAAGTATTTAGGCATTGAGTTGGCTAGCGCAATTTCATTTTCATCTTTATTGGAATCAGTTGTAAAAAAGCAAATTCCTGGATCCGACACTGATGCCCATACCCCTTGAGCTTCGGGGGGGGGGGGGGGTGTATGTAAGAGTGGGGGTGATGCAGATATTTTGTCTGCCCCCCCCCCAACGTTTTCGCTCATTACGCCACTGGGGGAGGGGGTAGGGTGCGACACCCTCTTCACCTGTCAGGATATTGTCGGTAAAATTGCGCTGCTGTCGGGAAAAAGAGAAAAGGGAGAGGGAAAAAATGATAGGGAAAAGGAAAAGAAAGGAAAGAAAGAAAAAGAAAGAAAAGAAAGAAAAGGATAAAAGGAAAAATAGAAGAGAAAAGGAAAACAAAAGAAACGGGGGATGAAAGAGAGAGAGAGAGAGAGAGAGAGAGAGAGGGGGTTAGAGCATGAGAGAAAAGGGGTGGGATTAAGGGAGAAAGGGGATGTTGGGTGGGGTCACCACGTCGAGGGGGCAAGAAAACTATATACGCATAGATAATTATGTTGCTGTGTCGGGTCCGCTGTGTCGGTATTCTTGCTCGATCCTCGTGTACTATATCAATGCAGAAGTTTGAAGTCGGTGATATGTATTATGTCGGTCGGCCGGCACATTTTTTTCCCCTACGAACTGTGACTTTTTTTATCGGACAAAGAAACATTTACGAAAATTCAGACAATGATTAAAGCTTATCTGCCGTAGTTTACAGGAGGGATTAGACCGCTCTGCAAGGTCACTGGACAGGTGCTTATCTCATCAACTCAGCTCTCAGTTAACATAAGAAAATGAGGATCATGGGGGACCAATGGTCACCTATTAGGCATTGTTTGTTATATAGAGGGCGCAAGTAGCGACAAGTAGTGCAGTGGGCCTTTAAGAGTCGATACAACGAATTGTCATCTTTCTCTAATAATTTAATGAAACGTCAAAGTTTCCGCACTTTCCGCGCTTCGTGCGGGAGGGGAAAACTGAATTCAGACAAGGATTAAATTAGAGAAGAAAACAATACAACGAATCGTCTTCTTTCTCTAATAATAATTAAATGAAACGTAAAAACTTCCGTGCTTTGCGCGGGATGTGCGAAAATGAATTCAGAAAAGGATTAAGTGTAGAAAACGGCGATTTTGTGCCCCCACCGGTGAGAAATTCCAGGATCCGTCACTGACCCGTTGTGGTTTTCACTCCGCATGCCACCTAGATTGACTAGCAACTCTGGAAAAGGAGGATCCCAGTCCACATCCAGAAGTGGAAAAGAACCATGGCCCCAGGCGCGGATCCACGGAGCGATTTCTCCGGCCAGCCCCCCCCCCCCCAAAAAAAACAAAACGGTAAAAAATAGGATAAAAACGTAAATTTGACCTTTTTAAAAGCAAAAAACAAAAGCGGCAACCCCCCCCCCTCAAAAAAATGGTGGTTCTCCTCTCTATCACCTCCCCCCCCCTCCCCGCTTATTCACCGATCAGATGAGTCAGGGCTAAATTTTTCCTCAAAAACTGGCACCCCCCCCCCAAAAAAAAGCGCTCTTTTAGTGAAGAGTATTCCTACCCCCCACCCCGTTTCTTCTAATACCTTGCCAACACAACCGTTAGATGGGATTGGGTTATAATGGAGAGACATAATGATAGTGTTGTAAAAAGCTCTCCGATTTATAAACATGCTCTGGGGTAGAAAAAATACAATGTCATTTTTTACTATTTCACTCTTAATCTCATCCTTAACTCTTCACCCCAAACTAGCTGTATTAAAAATATATACATTTCACCTTAAAGATTAAATTCATGAAGCATGCAGAGTCTTTTATTTGTGTCTTTTGTAACTCGACTTATCATTCATCATACAAATCATTTCATTCTTTCAAATCTGCTGGTGGGGGAAACCGCCTCTAAAAACTTCTGGTGGACCTGTCACTTGCAGTAAAAGGTTTCATATATCTTCCCTTAGCAATACGGTGATGGATTGTACCGAGGGACTGATCTTAGGACTCGCGGTTTCAAAAAAAGAAGAGAATAATAATATATAAAAGGCGACCTAAACCGGTATAGGTCGAGGTCTTTATTCGAAGCCAAGGGCTTTTTTTCGTGCAAGGACAAACACTTGATTCTGATTGGTTGAAAGTCAAAATGGGTTTGATCGAAGGATGTTCAGCAGTGGATCCTGAAAGAAGCAAGGAGGGGCATGTGCCCCCTAAACCTACTTAAAAATGTCATAACTCATTTTTAGGAGTGGAGCTTATCACAAAATTCCAGTTTGCAACCTCCCTCCTCTTCAGCTATATATCGCCTGGATCCGCCATATCGTTAGGTCACAACTTGTTATTCTTTTCATTTAACGGTGCTAGTAGCCGACTTCTATCATAAATATGGCAATAATAAAGGTCGGATTCAGGAATACTCTTCGCTATTAGCTGAAATTATGACAACAAACACATGAACCATATTTAAACCCCGATTCTCTCTCTCTCTCTCTATCTCTCCCTCAATTACTATACTCTTTCCCTTAATCTCTCCTTCTCATTAATTCTCTCTCTCAATAAAAACATATCATGATCTACTTCAACAGAATGACGAAATATTTTAAATTACACAATCTTCTAATTCTTGTAGGCCTATATCAATCATATCAAATAAAACAACAACCCAGTTTTTTTTTACACAAATGTGTTCTCACAAAAGTGACATACATTTAATATCCTTAAATCCTTTCCCTTCTTCATACACATCATCTGTACATTATAATTGCAGTTGAATAAAGTAGCTTTAATAATCAGGAAATGATGCGACTCATTCAAATACTTGTAAACTGAAGGGTAACATATATCAAAGTACATAATAAAACAGACTACAGGAAGATAAAGTTCACAGTTCCCTACAAACAGGCATCTATTGATTAGAGTCTTTAATACGTATCATGTAATAAGTTTCTCCCTCTCTTGAAAGGACCTTGGAGTTTTCAACTTTTACAATATTTGCCCACCTCTTTATTTTCATCACCCACTAGAATAGTCAGAATAGTCTCTTTTCTCACCACACGTTTCAGATTTTTCCAACAAATGCATTGATTTCATTAGCTTACCAACTCATCAACTCTTGTCGCTAGTTATCAATACCAAATGTCATAAAACTTGACTATGGTGCTGAAACTCAAAATAAATTGATGGAAAAAAAATGTCCTGTACATTGCCTGTTTAGATTCAGAAGAGTTTTAACTCCCTTTAAAGTATATAAGTTAATGCCTTTCTGGCTCCAAACATACAATATTGTTAATCATATCATTCACAATGCACCTTGCCAGTAACACTCATAAGAGTTTTACAAATACATGTACATATGTGTTCCTATAAGTTCTGGACTTGAATGGCAAATCATGAACATTAAAATGACACTTGAATGTGCACAATTTGATTCTCAGTGACGGAAATAGCGAATTGGCTCATGCTTTCTGACTTGTGGATTTGATCTAAATCACTTTTCACCTTGTACTGTCCTGTGTATTCAGGCAGTAGCCTAGGCTGGAATGTTCCTTTTTTTACATGTTTTTTCTTGTTATATTAAAAAACAATACGTGGCAAATTATAAACAAATCAGTAATGGAGATACATTTTGTGAATTTTTATTTTCTCAAATCAAAAGTGAGATATAATTTGTGACGATCAATTGGAAAATATAGATCTTTAACAAAAATGCAGTAACATACAGGTTGGACGTGGAATTTACATTGAATTTTTTAATTTGCACGTACATGTACATAATTTCTGTCCTAAAAACATGCTCAAAGGCCACTATTAATTTTTAAAAAATCAACAGATTTACAGTGAAATGAAGAACATTTACATATATAGATCTGTATATTACCACTGATTTCAAAATGTATGGAGAGAAGAGGGAAGAAATAGAAGGAAGGATTTAGGGGAGGAATTAAAGAATAACAGTCGACAAGATTGTAAAGGATTTAGATTACACATTGTAATACCTATTTATGTTATGCACTGTGAAGAAAAACATCTTTGTATGATATCCTAGCCCAAGTTTTGTCATGAAACTCAAGAAGCTGTGGTTATAAACATGCCAAAACATTGGCAAGTCTAGCTCTAAGATCCTAAAATAGCTCCATGTAACTGCAATGAGAAACTAAATTACATGTGTATGTGGGGTTTTTTTTCTTCAGGAATCCACACTATACATGAAATTCATGAATGCAACTTTGTTTTCTGTACAGTAAAATGTTAAATGACTCGGTACTTTTGGAGAAAAAAAGAAGAACAATACCATGTAGGTTTGAATTTTGACAATTTTGAAAAGGGGGGTCGGTATATATATAAATAGATTATGTCTTTCTTTTTTCCTGTTTCCTGCAGTTCACAAATCCACCATGATTATCTACATTCAGCTATACAGTGTGTCCTATTTCCCTCCAAAGACTCCGCCCACTTCGTCGTCTTCTCGTACACCCATGCTCTGTAGATAGCAAAAAACAAAGAAACATCAGCCATTAAAGGAAATTTAAATGAATGAGATATTATAGCATGGTAATTTTAAAAATGTAAAATATTGACAATCTGATCATTTTGTAGTCTAAGCTTCGAGGTCAACCTCTCTGATTTGTTGAAATGCTTGTACGTGAAAAATTACAAGATATAAAAGTGTAGTAAAAGACAAGAATGAACAAAAAAAAGGTTTGAGGAGTAAATAGCAGGTGATATCATAAAATACAAAATATTGACACTCTCATCTGTTTGGAGTCTAAGCTTTATAGTCAACCTCTTAAATTTAGTGCTTATGAAAGAGTTGGTGGTTTCCCCGATTAGTGGAAATGCCTGTACATGAAAACTTATAAGATATTCAAGTGGAATAAAAGACAAGGCTGACCTGACAACTATCATTTTAATTTTCACCCATCATCACCAACCCGACCCCCTTCAAAAAAGTATCCCTCCCACCCCCCCCCCTCCTTAATGACTTCTTGTACACTTTCAAAGATCGGCTACATCCCACTATCATACAGCCCTCAGACCAGCTGATCTGTTTTCTGAGAGATATCAAAGGATTCACAAGACTGAGACCAATCACTCACCAGACCAACATCTTGCAAGCTGTCAGTCTCATGGCCTTTTGGCCTACTAGGGTGTCCCAACGGGGATCACGAGTACTCTACCTATAGCCAGCGGCAATATTATCGCTATCTGTAGTTTATCTTTTCTTTCATTTTTAAAAGATTCTGTTGTATTTCCCTGCAAGTTTCATATCATTTTTTGTTGGTTTATGGAACTGAATTCGGAACAATAAAGACTCAAAACATGTATGGGGGGGGGGGGGGCAAGTCTACAGTATTTTATTTCTCACGTTACAGACCGCAGCAAATGTTTTATTATCTCTCTTTTTTGCATCATTGACAGACCAACTATTGTTTGAATCAGAGAAAAAAACCTCAAGGATAATAATACTTTTGATGTGAATCATGCATATATATCCAGAATACTCGATAACTTATGCAATACAAGAAGGGCAAAGTCCTTGGACCTCCCATTAAATGAAATAGTTGTTTAATATCTCACCTTTTGAACATACTGTGGATTAACAGCTATCTCTTGATCCATGCTCTTGAGCTTCTCATCTAGACTGATACAATGCTGCATCTGTAAGCTCATATACTTACCATTTCAAACAAAATTTCAAGAAATATTGGAGTCATCAGCAAATTACGTCATATCTTGCCACAAAATATTTTGATTTTATTGTATAATACAATGGTTTTACCGTATTTAATGTATTGTAATGTTGTATGGGGCAACACATACCCAACGAGATTACAACGACTGCATATATTACAAAAGCGTATAGTAAGAATATGTCTTATGTCTGATTTCAATGCCCATTCAATACCATTATTTCAACGACTACATTTTTTAAATATTTTTCAATTGAATCAATATTGTATATCACTCATGGTTTTTAAACATAAAACTGATAAACTGCCGATTAATCTTAACATTATGATGAAATGTAAAAAATATGTTCATAATTATAATACTAGAAATCCTGATAACTATTTTATTGAAAAATGTCCATCAACAAATTCCTTATTTACTTTTAGACACACTGGCCCGAAAATATGGAATTCTCTCCCCAGAGATATCCGTGATACTGCTTTCTTAAACTCTTTTAAATCTAAAATAAAAAAATACTTCATCTTTTTTTAAATCTATAATAATATTTGCATGTTAATACGTTTCCTATGTTTTGTACCCTGTTTTGTTATTGTTATACTTTTTATAGCCAATTGTTGGAACTTGTATATGCATCTTTTAATAACAGGGAGCTGCCTCGACAGAACCTTATGGTTTTATTTGCAGTTTCCCCAATTCATTTCTATTGCTGTTTAACTTTTTATAATTCCGATATATTTGTAGACATGTTTCCATTTTGTGTGTATTTTGTGTTTTTTTATATTGTATATAATCTGTATCTTATATGTTTTTTATGGATTTGAATTGCAATAAAACTTGAACTTGAACTTGAACTTGGACTTGAACTTGAAAAATTGGTAATTCAAAATCAAAACATGGACTTGGAAAACCACTTTAACTCATATTGGCCAGGTTTCAGACCCCCCCCCCCCAACCAACAATTGCAGATGAAAAGGGGAAATGGTACAAGTTTATGTTGTGACAGTATTACAAAGGAAAGTATACTGTTTTTCGTTTACTGATTTTTTTTTAAAATATGATTTTTAGAGCTGTCTAAACACAGAAATTTACTTGTCTCGCAATTATGCTCTGTGATTCATCACAAATGAAGTTTATTTTTACATTTTATAAAAAAACGTACTTGTACCAACACTCTTCATGAGCACTCATTATTATTAGAATTTCTTAATAGCCTTATTCTTGAAAAATAAAAAGGACAATCTTCCTGTGCCACCTTGAGTTCATCGTGGGATATACCAAAGGCTTCAACATCATTTTACTGTTTCCAGTACAAGACCCGTCTATACTCATATTAAAAAAGTTTGCCATGGGGGAAATCAACACTCGAAATGGCTATTTTGCAAAGCCATACATATCAGTGATGCAAAGGAAGCAAACAAATTACAGTATTTGTTCTAAATTAAAGTCGAAAACGATACCTCCGCCATAGAGCAATTTTACAAATAATAATAATAATAACAAACCAAAACAGAAGCAAGCTTAAAATTTAAGTTTGATTGTAATCCATCTGTCGTCTTTAATTATGCATTCACAAGCTATTTATAGGCATCCTTAATGAGCCCCATGACCTTTGACCTGATGACCCTAAAATCTAATCAGTTAATTGGCTCTGCAAGATACATATACATGTCTTGAGTTTGATAGTAATCTGTCTTTTGGTTCTCATGATAATGTGATCACAAGCTATTTGTGCATACAAAATGAGCCCTGTGACCTTTGAAATTTGACCTCATGACCCCAAAATGTCATCAGTTCATTGGCTTTGCAAGATACATACATGACCCAAGTTTAGCAGGAATCCATCAATCGGTTCTAGAGATAACGCGATAACAAGCTAATTTGCATACCTAATGAGCCCTGTGACCTTTGACCTTGTGCCCCCCAAATCTTATCACTTCATTAGCTCTGCAAGATACATGCATGGTTAAAGTTTGGCGGTAATCCATCAATCAGTTCTTGAGATAACGCGATCTCAAGAAAGGGACGTACGGACGGACAACCAGAAAACATCATGCCTCCGGCTACTTTGTAGCGGAGGCATAAAAATCTTATGAAGTAATTGGTCCACGGCTATAAATTTTGGTTTCAGATAGGTGGAGAAAACTTGACTAACCTGTTCCTCGACATGTCTGAGTACTGCAGGATTGTCATATTTGTCTGGGTTGTCATGGAAATGGACCATTCCATTCTGTTTGCTGATAGTTGCATGGATCTCACCATCTTCAATCTGAAATATATCAATAAAATTTTGTTTATTTCAATTCAAAGTACATACACATCTCCTTGTAGCACCATTAATTTCAGCCCAAAAAATGTACACTACAACTGTAAATTTACACTTCAATCTAACATCCAATTCCATCCCAATTATCACTTTAGACTGAACTTCAAATTCTAGCTCTGATTGTTTTAAATCCATTTTTATCAAATGATCATCCACTGTAAGTCTTCAGTCAGGTTCATATACATCTGTATCTATCTTCAATTGAATCCCTAAACCAAATTCCAAATCTAGAACTATGTATATTGCAATTTGCTTTGTAACCACTCTACAAAACCTCTCAAAATGTTTTCAATCATCAAAATAAAAATGAGAAGAAAAAATCAATGAACAAATTTAAAAGAGTTTTATTGAGTTTTATTGAATATAGTTGTATATTCCTGCCAATCAAATATTTTTTCCTACGGGTGGCTTACATATCAATCCTATAGTGGGGCAAATAATGTACCCTTATAGGCCCCATTTTTCTTCCATTACACTGTACCCTTTTTCAAATTATCCCTAATAAAACTTAGCTCTTTACCATATTTCTGACATACTGCTCAGCCTCTTGCGGTGCATGTAGATGAACTCTCCTGGCGATGTCACTCAGAGATAACGTTAGGAAGGTCTAAAGAGAAACATCAATACTAACAATGAACATCCCCTACTGTACAACTCAATCCTCACATCTACTGCACTAGTATATCGCCCTTTTGTGTGGCAATTCAATTCAACTGCATTGCGAGCCATAAACCTCCCTATGGCTACAAAGTTCACAAACATGTATACATGTACATGGGTAACTTTTTGTGAGACAATTGCTGAAAATATGGTTCTTTTCTTCAAGTGGTCATGGACAGTGGTCAAGGAAGTATAAAGTTAAAATCAAGGAAAGCAACTTGTCATGATTCAAAAATTAAAGTTATTGAATCTGGGCTGGGCAATCATCTATGACACTGAATAATGCTATTGTGGGGGGGGGGGCACTGTGCCCCCCCCCCTGCCTCCGGGAGGGCCGCCTCTGGTTGAAGGTTGAGTAAGAGTTGGCAATGTACAGCTGGCTCAGGGGCTGAGAACTTGCACAAGCCATATTTTCTATTCCACTTCATGAATTTCGAAAAGTGCATTCAAATTGTTCAAAATGTGCTAAGGTTGCATTTAAATTTTTATTTCTTAAAATTCATCATATGTCTATTGTAATTCTGCTTTTGTATATTGTAAATGTTGTATTTTACAATTTGTATAACATAATGACAATTCAGCAAATCAGCTGCAAACATATGTTTTTCATAAATCTTGAATCTTGAATCTCGCATCTATAACATTTATTTCACACGTGCATCTAACATATTTCTGTTTTTACAACTATGTTTTCCTGATGGCTTATCTTTACAGTTGAAATCAATTTTCATCCATGTTGTAATGCTACAGAGAGAGAGAGAGAGAGACTATAACACAAATCAAGTATTTCACAATCAAATGTATTTTTCCCCTTGAATTTTCTCCCTATACAATACCCCACCTCCTCCGTATAAAGCGTTTACTCAATAGGCGCTACGTGTGAAAATCATTCATAAGAAGACACTAAGACTCAGCAGAATTACAACCAACGTGAAACCACTTCTTGAAAAGTGAATTGACACATTTACTTCAAAAATATAGTACAAAAGTGTATTCGGGGAATTCCCAATAATGATTATTTTTCCCCCAAACGCATGTATCACCTGCTCAATCCTATGGACATATTATGTTACACCGGGGGGTTCGCCATAACAATTCACAAGCATATTGATCGCATTTGTGTGTGCAGAACCTAGTCTGCACACACAGACCCTAATTTGATTCTTCATCAAAAAATCATTGTGACTTGAGAGAAGTCTAGCTACCCACTGGTTGTGTGTCAGGAGCAGCTACAGTACATGGCCTAAATTATAGCGCAGACTCACGTTTACGACTGACCAGGGTTTGTGCTTGCAGACTATGCAGAACCCACAAATGTTGTTGAATGTGCGGGATGAGAATCATCGATTCAGGATAGAGGTGAATTCGCACAATAATTTATGAATGAAATGTATATCCTCCTTGTACGCAGCATGCTCTTTCATTATTTTTGCACCCTCTGAAATTAAAATGGTTCAACCCCACGATGAATCATCGCTGCAGGAGAGCGGGAAACCGTACAATAATTTATGAATGAAATTAAATTTATATCCTCCTTGTATGTAGCATACGCTACCACTATTGCTTCAACGCATTTTCATGTAGGTGTGACCATCTATTTCTCAAAAATATCTCCTATCAACATGGTGTCTTCATATATGCGAATTGCAATTTCATGAAGGGATCACACATCTTTAGTCTGCACAAGGACCCGTATACTACAATTCAGAGGATTGAATGAATTGTTTTGATAACAGTGCGACAACATTTGAAGTATACAGGTAAAATGTTGTAAATGTAATATTAATTGTTATAACAGCTTTTTACTTTGCAACATGTATTTCTTACATTTGTTTTAAATGCTTATACACTGTCGCTCATAAAGTTGGAATATTTTTGTTTTACCCCAATTTATGGAATTATTTTAAAAATAATTTAAAAATAATAGATCTAGATAAAAGTATACATTCTCTGATTTTATTGAATGATAATTTGACAATGTGTGTTTTGCGTGACTGCTAAAGCATGTGTATGCTACTACGCGTATCAACTAGGGGACCTACACCCTTAAGTCATAAATGACAGTAATCAGGATTAATGCCCCACAAAAGGGCACTAATATAGCACATCGACACGGTTTTGATCCCGGGGCCTCACAGTTATGGGGCCATTGCTTTGTCGCTGAATCAGCGGCGGGGGCTCGGGAAGGGGACAGTTTCCATAAATTAAAAAAAAAAAAAAAATGCAATAAATTTTCAATAATTTATTGCATTTTACCCCGGTCCCCAACATAACAAAATCCTCTAGACAGCCATGCATTATGGCTCAAGGCATGGACACACTTTTATCCAGATCTATTATTTTTAAATTATTTTTAAAATAATTCCATAAATTGGGGTAAAACAAAAATATTCCAACTTTATGAGCGACAGTGTAATTAATTTGTAATGTTTTGTTGGAAACATGAATAAATTTGATTTGAATTGAATTGAATTGAATGAATGAACATTGAATCTAAATTTACATAAATTTATCTACCTACATGTCCATATGATTTTCATTTCTTAAAAGTTTTGCTCAGAATAATCATATTGCCAAAGTATTGCATAAAAAGTGTGACGTCTAAATACAATTTCTTCATATTTTAGTTTATACAAAATACCAGGGTTAATTATCTAAAAAAAAAAAATTCTAGTCTGATAATGGGCTTAAACAAAAAAGGATATCCAGTTGACTTTATAAAATTAAGAGACTATTATGTGTACGGGCAATGAAATTGAAATCATATGAAATAATAATTAATATCATGTACATACATGTATGTTTTTCTATGATACCCTGGTTTTTTTTTTAGGGTCATGCGTTACTAAACACTATTGTAGTTGGTTCACTCCCATGAAGTACACAGCAGGCATGATGTCGATGAGATGGGATTTGTCATACAGCCTAGGTGCTCATCTGCTCGTTCTCACCATATTTGATGTTTTTATAAATTTAGGTGCTCTGCGGCAGATCCTGCAAATCTTGATTTCATCAGAATCATTCTTATTCATTTATTTCTTTCTGTATGATTTGTATGGGTCAAATCTTTGCAAAAATGCACAATCCAATCACCATCAATTTTTCACCACTAATTCCCCTTGGTCACGAATAGAAAACCTTCAGTGTGATAACTCAACCATGCATCATAATGGCGCCATTGATAAGACATCCCTCAATATATTGCTTTTAAAGCCCCACTACACTACTTATAGCTACTTGCGCCCTCTATATAACAAACAATGCCTAATCGGTGACCATTGATCCACTTTTTCTTATGTTAATTGAGATCTGATTTGATGAGATAACCACCTGTCAGCGACCAATCACGGAGGTCTAATCCCTACTGGCCAAACTAGTGCAGAGGGGCTTTAAAAGGGATTGCATTGGTTTTCATTAAATGCATGAGTTTTCTAAAATATATATTTTATTGGCATTACACATAAGATGTAATCGTAATTTAAAGAATTTTGAAAGATGGGTTTTCTTTTTTAAATTCTCAGTATTTTATGTAAGATATTGGGGTTTTGTTTTTCTCTTCCCTTCCAATTCTAAGCAACTGTCATTAACCTAATAAAAGAGCTCTACGTACCTATAGCTATTTTCAGACGGGCTGTCCTAGTCGGTGTAAGTTTAGCCCTGCAGCAGTAAATATTATATTACTATTTGACTTACACCATTAGTTGTCCATACGCTCTTCCTCGGACCAGGCCTGATCGGACCAACTTGCCACAATCAAGTTAATACGATCTTTCGTCGACCCAGTCTCTCTTAGCGTAACTTCCCAATTACCCAGCTTCCACATCATATCTAAACCGAGCGAAATCTAATTTTTCATTTTCGATTTAGGTCACAGATACTCCGAGTACCAAGTGAGAGCATCCACATGGGCATGTTACTCCAGGAGAAAAAATCCAGGAGTAAATCAGTCTGCGTAAAGTTCAGTGTAGCTATTTAACACGACTATCGTTTGACGGTCACTACGCCGACCAACATTGCCATCATCAATGAACTTTTGCTTTGCTTTTCCGTAAACTGCAAATGGGTTTGCTTTTTTAAATGCTCAGTATTTTTATGTAAGATATCGAATACATGCTTCTATTGCTTCATAATTCAATTCCTACAGGCTTGCAGCTCAAAGAACAAACTGAAACAACAGAGAGAATAAAAGGAAGAACATCAGGCCTAAAGACCAACCCATCACATTCAACCATCTACATCTAACTCACTGTGGATGCCGCTTCATACAGAAGAAAAAATAGTTGGCGCATCGACTGGTCTCATCTGTGATCAACGTTAATAGGCATACAGTGAGATTTAACTCATACATATACCATGCATTGAAGGCATCCTACCCAGAACTTGATTTACTACTTTGAACTTACAGGACCTCAAAAGTAGTTTGCATCAATGCGTACTTGTCTAGATGTTATTTCCAGCATCTTGCTGACCATAACTGGACAGTTGTTCAAATATTTGCCAGCAAATAGATAACCCCTTCTAAGAAATTTAGATTGCATGATCCTCCTTTGATACAGTTTTGTCTTAATTTATCAAATCTGTACAGAATTTAATGTTATTCTAGTCTTGAGAAGCAATATTAAAGTCAAAATGAGTTTCCCAGTCATTCTTATATTCATTGCATTTGCCATGTGTAACATGTGTCAAGCTGAAGATGAAAGAAAGACTGTTATTGAAGGGGGTGAGGTAGAACTTGACTTTCCATATCCATGTAACAGTACAAGAGTTACATTACAGTACGGAATAAGAGTACCTTTTTACACATTGGCAGATACAGAATCTATCGTTTTACCATCTGTACAAGTACACAGATTCATCTTCAGGAATAAAAAGGAACAAGATCATTGTTCACTACATGTTAGTATCACCCCTGTAATGAGAACTGATTCAGGAACATACATTTTCTTTGC